ATACTGACACAAATAAATGAGATCTTACACGTGTTTTGCGCCGGAAACGAGCAAATAGTGACACGGTAAATTTCATGTTTGTACATACAGCAATATTTAAGTACTCTCTCTACCTTAACATAAAACAGCAACGCAGTTTTGCATTTCGAGAACAGATTATATATTGAATAGGTGAATAGGATCGAAAGTGCCGTACGTGGTGAGTATGCCATCTTCCGATAATGATTATATCTAAAGACCCTGCCTTTATTGGCCATCTCTACTCTCGTCTTCCTGTCCGACATGCGCTTCTGCCTTATGCATGCTCTTTTAATCGTCACTATCACAAACAAGCTGGTTTGTTTCATATTCTGATACGACCTTCCACCATAAATCCGATACATCGGCCATCTTTATTAACCTTTGGCATCGGTTTACTGAAAATATGCCAAAAGATGATGAAAACGAGCATGAGAGGAAAACAGAATATTTCACTACATGTATTTAACTCAATACTCTCATCCATATACTATATCCTATCCATATACATGCATTTCGATATGATTACACATATATGCACGTTTAAAAACATAAAACTTTATATTTAAATGATTGCTTTCAATGTGCGCCTAACAAAAACGGCACAGTCATAACAAACTCGGCAAAACACGTATACATTGGACCGTTATAAAAAAAACTGCAAACATTCCACGTGCGTGACACGAAATAGACTATAGGCATGACGTTTACAATTTCATAATGACAATAGACAACATTGACGCTGTTGACTATTGTTTTGCCATTGAGATTGCAACTATAATTAGATCATGTAAATTTTAAATAATGAATGATAACTGCTGTACAAACACGTCTGTGGATGTTTCCTTATAAAATGCATTAATTCCATGTTTAACCACTTTTTTAAATGTAACATACTGCATGACCTGGTGCTGGGGTACGTAAGGTAGTTAGCGCTCACCACTGCTGTCCTTAACTACGCTCAATCAAATCAAGTATGCAACTGTTTCAATTTTGTCGTTTTAGGACATTCTTTTAGAATTTAGTTTCTCTTGTGAAATACATAGACATGAACTGAATAAAAGTAAAATGATCATTGGTCATTTACAAAAAATAAAACAAAATCAAGTACTATTGTGAGCAACTAAAATGGCCAGAGCTTAGATATTTGACATGACATATCGAATTGAGTTGTGGACCTCCACACAACTGATTTTGTAAATTCCCCTTGTGCTTTTATTGACTCAGATCCTGGGGCCACTTAAATGATAAAGACTCGTATTAGAAAACACATAAATTTAGTTCTTGTGTGAAACTACAATGCCAAGAGCTTAGATTTTCGGCAAGTAGCATGCATAATTGACCTCTACGATAGTTACAACAATTATGATCCTGGGGTAAAAATTGTGTTAACCCTGAGGTCAGATAGTTTTTTTAGACGAAGGTTTATGTGTCATGCACAAGGGTATAAAATGCACTCACTATGACGGGAAGGGGTGGTGGAAGGGGCCGCATTTAGTATTATAAGGATACATGTAATCAAGATTAGCATTTTTTGGTCGAGTTTTATGAATTGACCTGTTCCCTATTAGAAAAATTATTTTTGCACTTGTGACTTTTTCTCCAACAATACAATTCTCACTGCAGAGTTTCGTTTCTTAGATCAAAGATTAAACTGTGTTTCTGTAAAAGTAGCTAAATAAAAGTAAGGGGATGAGGGGGGCGGTACTCGTGCCGATTCAACAATAATAAGCCAGAAATAATAAGATAGTGGAGTTAGTACAGTCGGTATATGACTGAATATGTTGAGCCGAAACACATGCACGTATGCTAGATTAAATTTCATTTCACCCTGTAACTGTTATTGTAAGAGATATTTTTTTGAAATATTTTGCTTCTATAATAAGCTATTAATAGCAAATATACAGAACGTAAATGGTATTAATAAACGAAATGAACATAAATATCTAATTGAACAATATTTTTCATAAAACAAGTCATTTTGTTTTCAAATGGTAAGCTAAACATTATTATCATTTTAACATTTATTGCTTTGACGTACAAACATTCAATTTTGTTCTTATTTGACCTGTAATTTTTAACAATTGAAAAATGATATAGAAATGATGCAAAACTCAAATACAAAGGATACAAAACTGACATAGCACTTACGAAAAACTAACATGGAAATTACGAAAAACTGACAGAGACTTAGAAATGATGACAAATAATTACTGCTTTTTCCTGTATTTTTTTGAATATCATTTGTTTTAAAGAGATAATATTTATTTTATGTCCGAACGTCTCGTACCTTGTACGTTGTATTTTGTATGTATTCAATGAATATTTTCTGGTTTTAATGAAAAGGTTTGATATATTTACGTACGTGTAAGCTGGTATAGCTCCATACTGTTAGAATATGGGGCCAGTAACTTGACAATTAGAAGCCAAAGGGTAAGTAACTGATAAAAAAGCCATAAAGCCCATACTTATCTTTTATTGATCATGAGAATTTAAGTAAATAATGATGCTATTTTGATAATTTGATATTATAACCATTACAACAGTTAATAATCTGTTAACATAGCTAAACGAATCAAATCATTTCCTTACAGTTGCATGAATATACTATTATCCGAAAAACGTTTGTTAAAGAAAGAAATGATGAACCATCACAATCAAATAAGTTTGGTAAGACCTTAATAGCTGAAAGGTGTCCTTAAACCATAACCTTAAAGTCATGTAATAGATTTGCCAAGGTTTGACTTTGGTAAGGTTCATTCAATATTTCATGGATTTTCTTACGAAAATTGTATGACAATTGAAAACCTACAGTTCAGAGAGTATAGTCAGACTATACACACGGCTTTTTACTGATGTAAAAGGTTAAGGTTGCTATTAAATGTATATTTTCTGTATAGCCAAGTTTATTAAAACATAACATTTCATGTAAAATTATTTTAAGATAGTAAATCAGGTTAACAATATATTGGATAGTAAGTGTTCTGTGTAGTCAAATATTTCTAATTATCGTACCGCATCAATGAAAAGAAGCAACCAAATAATAGTTTACTAAATAGTAAGATATAAAACGGATACGTTGTCATTTATCATATTTACAGAAAAAAATGAATGTGAGTAATCACTGCTTAAAGCAACAATTTATTTCTATCACATATACTTTGTGCAAAGATAGTCATAGGAAATTCAAAGAACATATACATGGTATTTTTTAGATATCTTAAAGTTTTAATCACTTGTATTACACTGTTTTGAATAGAAACTAAAATTAGCAATTCGCTTATTTCATATATGATAATATATATGTTATTATAAACCTTATTAACATTAAACCCATCTATTTGTTTAAATGTCGAGTATTGCAGAATTTCTTTCTCAAATCTGTCAAAAGAGTCAACTTGTGCATTATTTTCCTTACCCACATTTATATATGCTTTTTCTGAAAATTTAAATAACGCATTAAAGCAGCATACTGATTTCCATGAATTATTTTAATGTTACAGTATTAAAAAGTACATGATTGTCGAGTGAACAAAGAAAGTAATTTACACATTTGCAAACGGCATTATTGGTCAACTGTTTCATTCCAGCATATACTTGACGTCGAAATTTTAATATATAACAAATAGAATATTTGAAGTTTCTCTGAAACGTAAATCAAAGTACATATTGTGTAATTCAAAATGTATATTTCAGATTTTAGGTGTTAATGAGGATACTGCTATGGTATAGACGTTTTTGCTGTGACCGTTTTGTACCGAATTAACAATGAATAACAGTACCATTTTTGTCTGAAGTCACATTACCAGATTGGGTGTATGTTGACCAAATTGCCTTTTCTGGAATCATCGCTTTGATTGGAATACCTGGCAATATCTTGATAATTCTTGTGTTCTTAAACTCGCAAGAAAAAACGACTACAGACTACATGGTGTTTTCAATGGCAATATCCGATTTTCTTGGGTCAACTATTTGCACAACATTAAACTTATTAAGAAACATTCCAGCTGTATGGGCAAATATAGGATCAGAGTGGTTTTGTCGAGGTTATAGTTTCTTTACAGTTTGTACAGGATTTTTTTCATCCATGATTCTTGGTGCGGTCGCCGTTGACAGGTACATGAAAACGTGCCAACCATTTTCTGACGTTTTATCTATTCCGAGGACTAAACTGCTTTGTGTTACTATTTGCATATTTGTGCCATTATGTGTTATGCCATCGTTCGGTATTGAACGGTTTGATTATAGTACCGGGGCTTGTTTCACCACTGGTAATGAATTAGTATGGTCAATAATCCTCTACTTTATCACATTTCTTTGTTGCTTAAGTTATATATTGACGGGTGTTGCTTATATATGCATTACTATGACATTGTGTTCGCGATTGAAAATGAAATAAAAAAGACGTCTCAGTTTGCTACAAGTATCAGCTAGATACAGATGGCAAGAACTCGCCGTACAACAGGAATTACCGTCGCCGATTTCAACCGCACAGTTAAGCAATGTTATCGTTACTGAAACAGACATATCTTCTTTTCATTCAAACATATCTGAAAAATCACCGGCGGGCATCAATGGAGATAAATATTCAATAGGTATATTTCATATATAACATTGAATGTATAATTTTGTTGAAGTTTCCAAACACAATCTTAGCAGTCATATTCTGATATAACATAAATACATTTAGTACCCACTCTGACTTTTATTATCATATTATTTTTTTAATTATTATAATCTGCAACCTGATTTAATTTACTTTTTTCTAAATTAGGAATGCATTTAAATGTTATATCTTCTGATAAGTAAAGAACTGTCAGATTACATGTGCAAATAGAAGTACGTACTTATTCAATGTTTTGCTAATGTGAAATAACATTTTAAATTCTTATAAATTTTATATAATTATAAAAAAAAACACAACAAACAAAAAAAACAACAACAAAAGACAATAATTATGTACTTTTATTTAGTCACTAATAAGTACAAATTAGGACAACAGTTTGTATTACATTTTTTCATTATCAGTTCTACTTCAAGAACAGAGAAAATGTTTCTGATTACTTCTATCAATATTATATCAGTGGTATGTGTTAACGTTGTGAACTCATTGGCCAGAAGCAGTTTAATTGTACCGGGAGATTTACAAGTTATAGGTTATATCATTCGTACGTCGTATTTGGTGACATTTATCGCCAATCCGATACTGTATATAATAATGAGTTCAATATTTCGGGAACGTATGTGAAGGCTGTTGTATAGATTAAGACAATGTCACAGGTAGAATTATCTAATGGACACGATACAGTAACCGAAAGTGAAGGAATTAAAACAAACCTAATGATTGCACCAAGCATATTTGAGTATTATCGACAATGCACGTCAACTATAGGTAAAAAAATACTTTATTCTTAAAATGTAAAGTTTTATGACCCGTGTAGAAAAATGTTTTGAATAGTTTAAATTATGGTTATTGTTATTATTATTATTATCATTTTTCATATTTTTTATGGATCTGTCGTTGATTATCTGGGAAAAATCTTAAAAGTTGATTAAATAGTTTAATAACTGTTACAGTAACATATGGCTATAATTTGAATCAGGACTCAAGATTTCAAGATCCATAATGCCCATCGCAATGTTCTGTAGTTCATTAAACATATAATGAGACAATTATGCATATAATGATAATATAATAATTATTAATTAATTTTTAAACAGATTAATAATCAAATTTGTGTCATCTGTTACCAAACATTAGTTTTTATCCATCTAGTTTCTATTTAAAGTACAAAAATACTAGAAACATACATTTAAAATCAACATGAGACGAATACATACATTACATACAATCATCGTGAGAACTGGTGAAGTTTACATTGCAAAATAAGAATAATATTTTCTGACCTGATGTCTTTACGAAAACATGCAATTTCATAAAATGCATGTCAAAAAAGCTAGGTAGTATCGTACCATATACAGGTATCCCTATTTCGAAGCAAAATATTTATCAAAATGTACAGACAATTTACTAAAATGTCCATGTATGAGATGCGTAATCAATACTGTAAATACGCAGTTTTTATTGTGTGAATAATGATAGTATGGAATGCGATAAAGTAACTATAGACTAGTGTTGGAATTTTCGTAGAATATTATGGAACTATTAAAAGCCTCATAACACTCACTTCATACATTGATGGGGTTCGTATAATTATTTCTTTAGATATTGGATGCTACAAGCGTGGAATATTACAATATATAATCATGTATCGAATATTTCTGAAAACATTTATATTTATCGACATCATTCAAACTATGTATCAAAGACACTGGCATATTCCTGTTTTAGTATCTATAATATGATATCATTACAGTAAATCATTCGAGTGAAAAGTCTTTGCTATACATAAACATATTATTAACATATACTGGTATCTATATTATTCATATCAATGACACTGCAATCCAATATTTTATTAAATAATTATAACAGGTTCTGTTACTTTAACAATCAACCTTAAGAATATGTAAAAGTCATAAAGGCATAAGTAAAATGAAATCAAAAAGTCACAATGATATGTCTGGTCCTATCACATGAGGCAATTGTCAGTTACCTGATATATTAAAATGCAGTTGATAATAAACAACCTAATTCTTGAATACAGCATAAATAGTGTCATTGTTAAAACATATATTACTCATGGATAATATAAAAAATAAAAGAAAACAAGAAAATCACATAACACGTTAAAAACATGATTTATATCAAAGTCTTTTCCTGATTAAATACTGAAAGGTAATTACAGACAATCACAATATTTACATACAATAAAAGAAGATTTAAATTACAAAATTATACCTTCTTCCCCAGATTTAACTAGAACTATCACTATATATGATTAATACCCCCGCGAGACTGTTTGGAAATGAGGAAGTAACAAGTAACAAAATACCTTGTAAACGAATTTTAATAGAGTTATGGATGTGGGCAATTAATTATAGTTTTGGTTCTTGTATGTTGCATTTCCTTTCAATGTGGTTGACCATTGATGAAGTTTTATTGAATTACTCAATTGTAATAAATCGAGAAAGAGTTACGTTTCTTGAGCACTGTACTTCCTCTCATTGCGCTCAACCATTGTAGTACGTTGCATTGAATTCTAAACATTAGTTTTTAAGTAATGCAACGGACAATGAAAAGGAACAAAGGGCAATAACTCTACAAATACTGAAGATGGAGTTATGGGTTTTATACAATGCACTTCCTCTCATTGTCCTTGACCATTGTTTGAAGTTGTATTGAATTCCAACTACTAGTTTTCAAGTTATGCACTTGACAAAAAAGTACTAAAGGGCAATACTGTAATTAGTCCAAATGGAGTTATTGTTCCTGTGCACTGCATTTTATCTCACTGCCCTTGACCATTGTATGAAGTTTCATTGAATTCCAGCCATTAATTTTCAAGTTATGCACTGGACAATAAAAAGTAACAAAGGGCAAAAACTCTTTAATGAGTCAAGAAAGAGTAATGGTTTCTATGCACTGCACTTTCTCTCAATATACTTGACCATTGTATGAAATTGTATTGAATTTCAACTAGTAGTTTTCAAGTTATGCTCTGGACAAAAAAAAGCAATGGAAAAGTAACAAAGGCAATTACTCAATAATAACTCTTGACAGAATTATGGTTCTTGTGCACTGCACTTCCTCTTACTATTGTATGGAGTTGTAAGTACTTATTAAGTTATGCTCCAGACAAGGAAAAGTATCAAAGGGCAATTACTCTGTAATTTGTCAAAATGGAGTTATGGTTCTTGTGCACTGCACTTCCCTTTATGTGCTTGACAATTGTATGAAGTTGTATTGAATTCCAACTAGTAGTTTTCAAGGAATGCTCTGGACAAGGAAAAGTAACAAAAGGCAATAACTCTGTAATTAGTGAAGATACAGTTATAGTTCTTGTGCACTGCACTTCCTCTTTTAGTGCTTGACTATTGTATGAAGTTATTTTAAATTTCCAACCAATTCTTTACAAGTTATTCTACAGACCAAGAAAAGTATCAAGGGCAAAAACTCTGTAATTTGTCAAAATGGAGTTATGGTTCTTGTGCACTGCACTTCCTTTAATATGCTTGACAATTGTATGAAGTTGTATTGAATTGAAAGTGATAGTTTTCAAGTTATGCTCCAGACAAGGAAAAGTAACAAAAGGCAATAACTCTGTTATAAGTCAAGATAGAGTTATGATTCTTGTGCACTGCATTTTCTCTCAATATGCTTGATCATTTTGTGAAGTTGTAATGAATTCCAACCATTAATTAGTCTTCCAGTTATGCTCCGGACAATAAAAACAATGTAAAAGTATCAAAGGGCAACAATACTGTAATTACTTTAGATAGAGTTAAGGTTTTTGTGCACTGCACTTCCTCTTATTGTGCTTGACTATTGTATGAAGATGTTTTTAATTACAAACGAGTAGTTTTCAAGGTATGCCTAGGGCAAGGAAAAGAAATAAAGGGCAATAACTCTATAATGAGTCAAGATGGAGTTATGGTTCTTGTGGACTGCACTTCCTCTCAATGTGCTTGACCAGTGTATGAAGTTATATTGAATTCAAACTATTAGTCTTAAAGTTATGGTCCGGACAAAAGAAAGCAATAGAAAGATAACAAAGGACAATAACTCTGCTATTTCTTTAGATAGAGTTATAACTTTGTGCACTGCACTTTCCCTTATTGTGCTTGACCATTGTATGAAGTTGTTTTGAATTCTAACCAGTAGTTTTCAACTTATGCTCTGGACAAGGAAAAGTAACAAAGGGCAATAATTTTGTAATTAGTGAAGATAGAGTTGTAGTTCTTGTGCACTGCACTTTCTCATGTGCTTGACCATTGTATGAAGTTGTATTGAATTTCAACCATTAGTTTAGTATAATATTTTCACTTATAATAAGATTTAAGTCTAAACAGGCATTGTTATGGATATGTTAGTCTGGGCAGTTTGACTATAGTATAGTGAGAGCCAGAGCAGGTTATATTAAGTTTTTTTCCGGCCCGCTAAAATGTAGTTATGATTGTATAACCGTATAAAGGATTAACACATCATCATATGGGTTTCCTTGAAACATTGTTGTTAAAACAAGATAATTTCTTACACGTAGACTTGATTTTTAATTTTGTGGGGTATTATATAAAATAAAAAACTATCAGTACACAGTACTTGGAACCTGGAAGCATTACAATGACCTCCCTGTAAGCTCTAAACATTAAATTTATTGCGGTCTGTCTGATCAGTTACTATAATGACAGGAGGCTCTAGGTGCTGTGTACAATTTCTAGAAAATATTATAAATAGGAAGAGAAATTAATATAAAAATACAGTAAGTCAATTTATAAAGATAGATCAAAGAATGAAAAAAAATTAAAACACTTTAACTTAAAAACACAAAACAAAAACAAGGAAAGTTATTGTTTCGAATATGCTATCATTTGAGCAATTTGTTAAGTGTTGAAGGGTCGGTTTGGTATGTATAGCCTATCCATGAACGGTACCGAAATTTTCAGACTACCTTTAACGTCCCTAGCACCGGTTAAGCAGACTTTAACATTTAACATAAAAAATAAAGACATCCACAGATGTGTCCTTAAGTTTTCAAACTAGTACAATAAGCATAATCCGGGATCTTGTATTTCATTAATGTTTTTTATTAGAAGGGATATAAATATGTCATACTATAAAGTTTAAAAGTTATTCTTGTTTTCTCCCTTTAGAAGTCATGTGGCTCTTGAATTTCAATTTGGTTGAGTATCTGCACTTTTAAACGCTTAAACCCACACTGTCTGTCTTTCTGCCTCTGGCCATGGTGTGCTTTCTAAAGTTTTATTTTTTCATCATGGCTGTATCTCATAGAAACAAAACGTCATGGCTGGATTTACAATGAAACTTTTTACATCGTTTCGGAGACCAGTGCTTACAGACATGTTTACTTATACATATGTGATTTCTCTTCCCTTTGTCCGGAATGTGGAAAAATTGATTTATGTATCAATCAGTTATTACATCATTAATATAAAGGTTAACTGATGTTTCTGCATTTGCTCTCTTTTTCAAAATATAGTTCTAATTGATTATATCTGAACAAACCCATAAATCTTTAGATATCCGAGCGTAAGTCTTGTTTTTTTTTTACTAAAATCAAATCTGACAGCCCGGGATGAAATCAGTCATATGGGCTTTAATATATTGTAATCTTATACTATAATTATGCATTTCAGATTATTCGAGATGGATTGTATTTAATGTTTTATTCATCCATTTGACAAAATACTGCCAAAAGAAATCTTAACCTAAGGAAATATGTCCTATCTAAAATTTGTGTTACTTATGTTATTTTCCTGTCCAAATAAGTATATTATACCGATTAATATTTTTTTGAAATTGAATACTACATCAACAGTGGTTGAAAAACAATGTTACCAGCAGATCGGTATTTAAATTTCATAAATATTGAGAAGATTTCTTCCCTTGCCATATGCAAGCTGATAATGATGGTAAAAAACAACGAACACCTTATCACCTTTTTCTAGTTTAAAAGCAGCACCAAGAGAGCAAGGCAGTTGAGTTTGTTCGCTAGGCATTTGACATGTTGAGATAAGCTTTTCAAGAAGAACTGACTGTTGTTTGGTTTCAGCTGAAAAGCGAATAACTTGATATCGTATGGTGTCATCACCTTCGTTAGGAAAAGTAGAGTTATCTATCCTGAAGGTTACTTGTGTTGAAATATGATAGAAGCCCGATTTCAGGACAGCGATCACTCCCTGTTTATCCAGGTAACTTAATCCGTCTCCTTCATTTGTGATTGAATCCCAGTATATATGCAGTGATTGTCCCACATGTCTGGCTCCTGGAAGTATTTAGCAAGTGTATGATGTTATCAGTGTATTAATTTAACTTTCTATCATTTTAGATGTATTGTTGGGCTTTAAGTAACATTAGCAATGTAAAGGTCATAAAGCGATTTGTAACGATGAATAAAGAGGGTTAATTATGACACGCGTACTTACACGTGTACTAACCCATTCAAGTTTCATATATTACATAGAAGCAATTGCAAAATAGACGACATTATTACTTTATTTCACAAAAATATAATATTTGTACAACAACAAAAAAAATATAGATAAAACAGACCAGGCGTAACAAATGGCTTCACTCCAATGAGCTGCAATGTAGTTGGTCTTTCTTCAGATATTGTGCAGTTAAATATACCGAAATCTAATGAATGGAGTTCTGAAATAGTAACAAAACAAATAAACGATCTTTAAGTAATATATATTTGGTCTGTTATACAATAATATCTATAATGTAGATATAAAGTGTTTTTAATGTCATTGTTTTCATGCCGAAAAATTGCGGTGTTATAGTTCATGTCTACGTCCGTCCATCCGTTCATCTGTTCGTCCGTCTTAATACCAAATTGCAATAAAATTCCATATACAAATTAAACACACTTTGAGGGAAAAAGTTGATTTCAAATAAGACTATATAATTCAATATGTAAACAAATTAATTAAGTTAGCACAAAATGTGAAATAACATTTATCAAAATGACACTGGGCAGTAAAATTGACTGTTTAATATAATAAAGATGTATTCATATTTAGTACCGTAGTAAAGAAATAAACCAGTAAAATAATTTATTTCCATTACGCTATTAGGTTTTAAAAAGAAAAAAAGAAAAGTTACTTATATATTTTATATACACAATACTTTTTCAATTCAAATTATGATTATTTGTTAACTTGTTAATTAATGTTCCACATAACATTTATAAGCCGTTATAAACTATGGATAGACCATGTTTACTTTAGCTTATCAAAAAAGACTAAAATGCTTTATGTAAAGTAAAACTGTTACGAAATCTTCGTCTAAACATAGAGTTTAATTCATGCTAAATAAAACTATTGCATATCAAATAAGATAATTGACGGACGTTTTTGTTATAATAGGTTTATTTCAATTTTAATTTTATTTTAATTTGGTACTTATTTACGTAATCACCTTATATATCCATGGTCTTACTTAACCTTATCCCAAACCTAACTTACAATCATGTATGCCCAAAGTTATACTAGAATAATGAGCAAATTTTAAAGGTCCATTATGCAGTAATGACAGAGAGTGACAATGTCCTTCTTTAATTAATGTTTGAATACATGTATGTTTTTTTATTTATGATATGCTGTATATATTTTATTACATTGACGAGACTATAATGAAGAATAAAATAAATATGCTTATAAAGTCATATTAATATCTTGTGTACATGTTAGGCGATTGGATGTTCCGTTTTAATCAATACAATATAATTATGTTACTTATTTTAATTTAGTTCCGGAAACAAAACATTAATTAAAACTAACCTGGATTAGTATCCGAATTATAAAGAGCGTACGTTTTCTGAAACACAATAAATAACACTGAAAATTTATAAAGCTAATAAAGCAGCACTTTCGTCTTCTACCATAAATAAGGCATACTATTAAGCATAAAGTTCCCGGTAGCAATACAACATATCAGAACATTTTAAAAAAAAAATCAGTAAATAGTTATGCGAACATTCATGAAAAAGAAATATACATCTCATGGAATAGAGCTGTTCACTAATTTGGAGATAAAGGGGGTTGGGTGGGGGCAGATTTGGGTGCATGGATGTAGGAGTCAGTAATGGTTATATTGCTCAGAGTCAATTTACTTGGAACAAAGTATCTAAAGAATTTCACTATGTCGTGGGAGTAAGTCAATTTCACTTTAGAATATGTGGCCGTATATAGGGGAATCGGAAAAGCCCCCTCATGGTATTCCGAAGGTCCCGGGTTTGACTCCCGGTCAGGCTGCACATTTGTCTCACACTGTGATACAGATAGAATCTTAGTCTCAGGAATATATCGAAAACTGCGATAATATATAGGATAAATTTGTATGATGATTAAATAACCTGTATTATATTGTTGAATTTTTTTTCATATTGCTTTCACAACTTGTGTATATAACATATGCAGATTGAATATAACATAACAGCATTACCTTTCGTATAATGTTTTCCAGTACCTGACTTGCAACACCACAGCAAAAGGTAGCATTTCTTCTTGTCATAACTGATAACATCTCGGGACATTTCTGTTCATTTTGGCCGTCGATCAATTTGTCAAAAGGCAGACACATCTGTTGTTGTTTGAAAACTGGACTTTTGCTCCTCAGATGTCTTCGGTATACATTTAAACAAGTCAGAATGATGATCTGCACAACGGCAATAATGACCAATACAGCTAAACATATTTTTTGCCGCTGTTATGTTAAAAAATATAAAGAAGTTCATGGTAAACTACAAACATGCCACTTTATTAGAAATATTTAAGGATATATTTAAATGTTCTTAACAAATATTGTAAATATTAAGAAACCTTTAAAGCTTAATATTGTCATTTATTCTTTAGATTCTAATTATTGTATTAATATATAACCTGTCGATATTGTAAGATGCAGATATACATACAATTATTATTGAAAAAAAATAATCGCGGGAGACAACCGATATAGGCAGATTTGCGATGCAGTTTCAGTGTTAAACGGACACTTAACAAAACTAGCTTTGACCATACTGTTTTTGTTGTTGTTTTATTTATTTTTTTTTTCATAAACGACCGGAGGATCTTAAGTGGGTTAATACACTGATTCTGATGAACTTGATCATTGTTGTCTACTATAACAAGTTATAACTTACTTTTAAGGTTAATTCCATGACAACGGAGTGATAGCTGGTGATCTGTACGACAATGTATAAATCCTCACCTTTAACGTTTCAGTGAATTATGTTATCCCTTTCTTACGAACTTAAATGAACCACATAAGAAATTTAAAAATTAGATCTGTTGGATAACACGACAGACAATTTCGGACCAGAACTAGCCAAGCCAGTAATTACAACTCTTTTTTTTCAACTGAAATATATCATGGAATGCAATCTATAGCGTTTTATAAAACTGGAAAGACGATTTATGAATTTTAATGTGCCGGTGGTGTGCCTTAAACCCAGGACAACTGCACTTTCATTTTAATTCTTCATAGTTTATTAACAACAAGTACAATCCATGATTTAATCAACCAAATTAATGTATAGTCAGGTGAACACTCGTCCTTGTGCAACCTACTTTCAAATTATCAGAACCGATTTGTCACATTTGCATTCATTAATGACGATAAAATATTGTGAGACTGAAATGTCTGGATTTTTGTTGTTACATATTAAAAAAAGTCTGCGATTTTCAGGTTATTTTGTTGTGATTAATGCTTCCGAGGGATCACTTTGTTTCCAGATTCTTGATGAATATCATGACCAAAGATATTTCAGTTTTAAGTATTTGGGTGGGGGAGGGGGTTCAAGTACCATCAATTGTATATTTTGCAGAATAGCTTTACGCGGAGAAGCGTTTTTTTATTCATGACAAAGGTACATTTGCATAGATTCACTGTATTGCAATCGCTGGACCCCATTCCAAATTAAACATTTTGATGTTTTTAACACGCGTAAAATCTGATGCACAATATCGTCATTCTGCCCATTAGCATTTTCGTGTCCGCTTTGTACAGCTTTATTTTATTAATAAAACTAGCTGAAAGATTAATTATAATGAGACGATAATTATGCACAATACAGGACCAAGCTGCATATCCATATCGGTACCTTCTTTGCGAAATCTACTCAAACGGTACCCTCTTTGCACATGCACAAGCCATTCTCTGCTCTAAACATACCAGATTGTTTTCAGATATTTATACGCATTTTTTTTTCAAATCTCGGCGAACGGTCCACATAGCCAGCTTTCTTGGATAACTAACCAATTACTACAAATTTTTAGCAAGTTACCGACTGATAATCATACATGGTAATTGTATAAGCGATGAGACACAAATACCGTTTGATTTTCTAAAGGAAATTTCTCACCGTAGGAGCGAACCAGCACAATTCTTTCATGGCTAGTGTAATATTCGAGTATCTTACAATGTCCTGACGACTAGTACATATTCGATGTATATTTTATCCGTTCATCAAATGTCAAACGCAAAATACAGTACGCAATTTCGTTATCTAATTAAATCGCACCTGTTCTTATCTTTTTAATTTAACGTCGGTGATATGTAAGTACACGGTCTTTTTGATATAGCCACAGTTCAAAAACGTATTTAATTTTAAGTTGTAAAACATGTAAAAGTTTCGCTTATAGTTTGTTATTTATTCACTTACAAGACTATTAAAACAGTATGTGAAACGTTTGCAACTTTCTGTATCAATGTTTATCTGTTATGTGTTTGTAAGATAAAATATAATTATTATAATTTGATGCCCTTGAGAGGATGCATAAATTATAATTACACCATTTGATTACTATACAGTAAAATTATCAAAATATAAATTCGCACTTTTGTTTTAAATGTTTTCCCCAATGTGATACCTAACATTTATTTATGCTTATAAAAAGAAGAACAAAAGCTACAATGTATACAGTCGGAAATCATTAGATAATTTTGTAACATAACTAAAAATGAGTGATTATTGACATTAAAATTTTTTATCAAAAACTTTAAAACTTATGATCGCGAAAGTGGTCGTCATTTGCTTAGATTAATAATACATACACATCCTTCTACATGCAAAACTGCGCACGGAGATATATGGATGTACAAAAAGTTAGTTCTCTATTCCTTATTCCTTTTTCGAAAAAGGAATAAGGAATCAGTTCCTTATTCCTTTTTCGAATAAGGAGTAGGGAACTAGTTCCTGATTCCTTATTCAAATCTAAATAAGGAATAGCAGAATTAGTATTTATTTAAAATAAAATTTATACCTCATTCAAATCATTGCATAAAGAATCTGCATCAATAATTTTGAAAAAAATGTTAAGTCGAATAAGGGATAGGGAACAAGTTCCTTATTCCTTATTCAACTCCGAATAAGGAACAGAAGAAAATACGTAAAGAAAGACAGCAGTTGCAATTATTTTTGATAAATCTGCATTAGAATTGCAAGGATCAATCATAAAAATCATGAAATAAAGCATAAGCATAAAAATATTTTTGAAAAAAAAAAAATGTTAAAGTCGAATAAGGAATAGGGAACCAGTTCCTTATTCCTTTTTCAACTCCGAATAAGGAACAGAAGAAAATACGTAAAGAAAGACACCAGTTGCAATTATTTTTGATAAATCTGCATAAGAATTGCAAGGATCAATCATTAAAATCATGAAATAAAGTATCTTCAACTTTTTTTGAAAAAAAAATGTTAAAATCGAATAAGGAATAGGGAACCAGTTCCCTATTCCTCATTCAACTCCGAATAAGGAACAGAAGAAAAAAACGTGAAGAAAGACACCAGTTGCAGTTATTTTTGATAAATCTGCATTAGAATTGCAAGGATCAATCATTAAAATCATGAATTAAAGCATCCACATATTTTTTTTGAAAAAAAAAATGTTAGAGTCGAATAAGGAATAGGGAACCCGTTCCTTATTCCTTATTCAACTCCGAACAAGGAACAGAAGAAAATACGTAAAGAAAGACCCCAGTTGCAGTTATTTTTGATAAATCTGCATAAGAATTGCAAGAATCCATCATTAAAATCATGAAATAAAGCATTTACATAATTTTTTTTTGAAAAAAATGTTAAAGTCGAATAAGGAATAAGGAACAGAAGGAAATACGTAAATAAAGACACCAGTTGCAGTTAGTTTTGATAAATCTGCATTAGAATTGCAAGGATCAATCATAAAAATCATGAAATAAAGTATCTGCATAAAAGTATTTTGGAAAAAACAATGTTCAGGTTCATTCGACTCCGAATAAGGAACAGAATCAATTGCGTAAAGAAAGACAGAAGTTGCAGTTATTTTTGATAAAACTGAATAAGAATTGCAGAAAAGATGAACATTTTTTTGTTCCAAAATACTTTTATAAAGATGCTTTATTTCATGATTTTTATGATTGATCATTGCAATTCTAATGCAGATTTATAAAAAATAACTGCAACTGGTGTCTTTTTTTTACGTATTTCCTTCTGTTCCTTATTCGGAGTTGAATAAGGAATAAGGAACTGGTTCCCCATTCCTTATTCGACTTTAACATTTTTTTCAAAAAAAAATAAAATATTTAGATGCTTTATTTCATGATTTGAATGATTGATCCTTGCAATTCTTATGCAGTTTTATAAAAAATAACTGCAACTGGTGTCTTTCTTTACGTAATTACTTCTGTTCCTTATTCGGAGTCGAATGAACCTGAACATTTTTTCCTAAAATTATTGTTATGCAGATGCTTTATTTCATGATTTTTATGATTGATCCTTGCAATTCTAATGCAGATTTATCAAAAATAACTGCAATTGGTGTCTTACTTTACGTATTTCCTTCTGTTCCTTATTCGGAGTTGAATATAAGGAACAAGGAACTGGTTCCCTATTCCTTATTCGAATTTAACATTATTTAAAAAAAAATATTTTGATGCTTTATTTCATGATTTTAATGATTGATTCTTGCAATTCTTATGCAGTTTTATCAAAAATAACTGCAACTTGTGTCTTTCTTTACGTAATTACTTCTGTTCCTTATTCGGAGTCGAATGAACCTGAACATTTTTGTTTCCAAAATATTTGTATGCAGATGATTTATTTCATGATTTTTATGATTGATCCTTGCAATTCTTATGCAGATTTATCAAAAATAGCTGCAACTGTTGTCTTTCTTTACGTAATTACTTCTGTTCCTTATTCGGAGTTGAATAAGGAATAAGGAACTGGTTCCCTATTCCTTATTCGACTTTAACATTTTCTTTCAAAATAAATTATGTAAATGCTTTATTTGATGATTTTAATGATTGATTCCTTCAATTCTTATGCAGATTTATCAAAAATAACTGCAACTAGTACTGCTGTCTTTCTTTACGTAATTACTCTTGCTCCTTATTCGGAGTTGAATAAGGAATAAGGAACTGGTTCCCTTATCTTATTCGACTTTAACATTTAAAAAAAATGTAGATGCTTTATTTCATGATTTCAATGATTGATCCTTGCAATTCTTGTGCACATTTTTCAAAAATAACTGCAACTGCTGTCTTTCTTTACGTAATTACTTCTTTTCTTTATTCGGAGTCGAATGAACCTGAACATTTTTTTTCCAAAATATTATTATGCAGATGCTTTATTTCATGATTTTTATGATTGATGCTTGCAATTCTAATGAGGATTTATCAAAAATAACTGCAACTGGTGTCTTTCCTTACGTATTTCCTTCTGTTCCTTATTCGGAGTTGAATAAGGAATAAGGAACTGGTTCCCTATTCCTTATACGACTTTAACATTTTTTTTGAAAAAAAAAAATATATGTAGATGTATTTGAATTTACTTAGTGCACATTTTGTGCCGGTTTGTTTGATTGGATACCTGGCACCCAAAAGTAATTATAACATCGCGACCAAGTGTTATACTTTTAAAACATCTTAAATCTTACCCTTGACAATGATGTGTTTGTCTGACGGATTTTCATTTTCAAACTTCTTTGTTATGTTTAAGGATCTATGTTATTTTTCTCCTTTCAATTTAAATAATAACATTCTTTTTTCAGAATAACAGAGTGAAGAAAGTCAATTCTGAAAAAAAGTATTTAGTTGTCTTATTTGTTGGAATTGAAATATCTTCGCGACACTTTCATAAGCTATACATATGAGTAAAAGTAAGTATTTACCAACGAAGTGTAGATAAACAGGAAAGCTAAATAAATACAAAAACATATACATTCAGGCATGAAAATATCGAAGTAACACGTTTAGGCACTGCATGGAATGGTCGATAACAAAAACACTACTTTGGAGTTTTAAACCGGTTCATTCTGCAAAACCATCGTAGCCCAAACACGCTCCTGATTACGTGTACATGAAAGTATTCACCACGCCATATGAAATTCTCATATATTTCATTGCTGCATAAGGTGATATAAATAAAACACTTATTAAATAATCATGTAAAAGACCTTATGACCATAACCAAAATATCATATGGCTTAGAGAAGGCAGTGCAAATTGTAAATCACGTACAAGCTTAAGGGCCCGGCGAAACAAATGAACGTTCAACTGTAAAAGAGTTGACTAATAAGCATGTTTCAATATTGTTGAGTCATCACCTCTTTGAATAACACGTTTGATAACTTTCTAAAAGACAATGAAAAATTGCCATGTAGTAAGAAAAGCATATCTTAAAAAAACAAACAAACAAAAAAACTTATACCTTGTTTCAAGAGAGATTTTAAATCGCTTTTAAATTGAGAGACTTATTCTAAATTACGATAGTAAAATCTTTTAAATAACTTTCATTGAAGTCATTGATCTATGACCTAGCATATCTTATCAATTTAGAAATAAGATAAGAGGTAGCACAAGTGTGGGCAATTATATGTTAACAACAAAAAAGACGCCCCTTTTGTCATAAATGTTTGTATTTATATAATAAGTGTTTAAAATAACAAAAACACGTTCAGAATTATATGGATTAATGATATCTAAAGTATAATATAAATAATTGGACGTTTCATCAGAACTTACTTCCGGTTGTGTATCGGTAATGGCTCAACATAAAGTCTTTAACAAGGTTAGCTTTTAAAAAAGCTAGTAGCGACTCGCTTCGTAATTTTTTTCCTGGGGTGCGTTTAAATGTAAAATGACAGTTCTGTTAGCTGAAGAGACTTCAGCGAACATCAAAATAAAAGTGACATAAAGTTATGGAAGCCAGTTTCACTCAGTTTAACAAAGAGGAATATGAGTATATATGAAGATGCATGTAAACAGATAGAATGAAGTCCCTATGTCTATGCACATTTACTATATGGCCTTTTGACCTTGACCAAATAAATGTTAGATAGGTAGAATTCATAAAGATTTCTCTTTATACGAAGTTAAGTTGTAATATGATATTTAGTATTGGAATGAGTGACAGACACAAGTCCTAAAGTAAACACAAGTTGTCAATTAATTCATCCATTAAATACGGGATCCTATTAAAAATATAGGGATCCCGGGAACTAACCAGTCTTAGATGCTTTTCAGATAAGCCGGGATCCTATTAAAACATATAGGGATCCCAGGAATTGACCAGTCTTAGATGCTTTTCAGATAAGCCGGGATCCTATTAAAACATATAGGGATCCCGGGGATTGACCAGTTCAAGAATATAGATTTCAGAAAAGCCGGGATCGTATTAAAGTCTAAAGAGATCCAAGGAATTGGCCAGTTCAAGAATAGTTTTCAGAAAAGCTGGGATCGCATTAAAACATA